CGTGATGCAATTGCAAGGGTTTGCCCTGGGGGGCCAGCAGCTGCCAATGTTTGTATGTTTTTTGTCTTTACGCCCCTGTTTGTTAGATTTTGTTTGAAAATTAGTTCGGAAACTTACAAATGTGTCTTATTAGTTATGGAAAGGTTTAACATATGTTATTTGTTTTACATAAAAAAGAGAATATGTGTACTGAAAAATATGACGTCTAAAAAAAGGAAGAAAGCACAACATTGCCTGTCAGTGCGTGCGTCAGCGTGTCATCAGAAGGAGGAAGCGCACCACCCACTTCCAGCCTCCCACTATTTTTCTGTGCCTTCCTCCCAAGAAGCTGGAAGCGAAAGTAGATCAGAGACATGGCAGACGTCTCTCTGCTTTTGTCTTCTGAACAGCTGTGACCACACAGAGTCTGAGAAGCAGGGGACCCCGTTTCAAGAGCGCTTCCCCCGCTTTCCTCACAACAGAAACTCGGGAGATAGAAAGTTTTCAGGGAGAGAGCTGAACACACGGGATCAGCAGGATGTTCCCAAGTTTGTTACTTCTGTGCTGCCTGTCTCTGACGATCGAATCCAGTCACGGTAAGACGATCTACGCGTCCACGCTTACAACACATTTACCTGGGTTTTTCTTATTGCCTGCTTCTTTGACACCTTTTCCCAGTTTTCTCTCTCGAGTCATTTGCGGTGATTCCCACTAGTGACGTCACGTCTGGCATTCGCCACTGTGTAGCGGGACAGTAAAACGGACTTTGGGAAAAGAGAAAACTTTGTGGGAGAATGTGTTTCGTGTAAATCGCGCATGTAAATCCTCTCGGCGCACCCCCATGTTAGTATTTCCATCCGGATTCTGTTTACGTGACAGAAACAGGAGGAATCTGACTTTTTTTTAAATGACCCACGTAGAAATCTGAAGGCAGGATCAGATCTGGTAAATAGACTGTTCAGCGCCTACAGCTGTTACGCAGAAGTGTGAATGTTCTCTAAGCCTTGAGGGAAATATTTTTCCCTCCTGAGTGACTGGCTCAGCGCAACAGCTTGCTTGGCGAGCCACATAAAGCGTCTTTATTCGCTGCTCCTGCAGATGTTGACTCATTTTCTGTTCTTTCCCTTCTTCACTAAGGCGAAATCTTACCACCACGAAATGTGTCCCTGCGAAGGATCAACGACTTTGACCATAACGTGACCTGGGTACCACCAGAGAATTCTGTCGGATACCAGTATAAGGTGTCTCCAGATACAAACGACGAAAACATTGAATTCCCTGTAACAACTGTAAGTATACGCTTATATGTGTATATGCTTACTTTAAAACCTCGTATGTTCACAACGTTTATACCCCATAATTTAAAAGTCTTTCATCAGTTAATAACCAATAATTCCTGGAAAGACGGGCTGCTAAGGGACTGCAAGTAATCTCAACCACCTCCTGGAAGTAGAGGCTCATTATTTGCATACTGCTGAAAAACATTTTCAGATATGAAAAGTAGGTTTGAGTAATTTCTAGATTTTGCATAGACAACCGCTATTTTAAGTTTTGAGGGGAAGATGTGTTGTGTTACAGTGTACCGTTTCTCCAGCTGCACTCTTGTGGACCTCACATGTTATAAGCCACCACAGCTATAGCTGTGTGTATGTGTGGCACTGAGTCCTGGGCTTTCTAGATCTCGCGTGGTAACTCGTCCACTGTTGTCTTCACCCTCCACATCTTCTCTCAGCCTTTGGCGTTTCTTGGGCTTCTTGTGTTCCTTCTTCCTGATGTTTCTCTCTCTGTATTGCTACGTCTATTACTACGACCCTTTCCTTCTGCATGTACACCACAACTATGTCTGGTTGGTTAGCCAGTTCTTCAAACAAAAGATCTGAGATTGGTTTAGACTGTTTACTCAAATTAGTTTTTTTTCTTCTCTTTTTCTCTTAATAGCAATACACTTACATAGTTTTGGAGGGGTTAATGAATGGAAACGTCTTAAATGTGTCTATCAGAAGTCTTTGGAACAAGTCATCAAGCGAGCCAGTGGTCGTCAGTGAAACTAATCCAGGTAATTCTCACCACTGCCTCTGCTTTGTTGTAAAAAATGCTTTTGAGCCACATATGAAGCAAATTGCTGTCTATGTGTTTGATTATTAATCTGTGTCTGTGTCTCTGTTGCTCTCAGAGCTGGTGACAGATTTTCAGTGCTACGTCCACTCCTCATACCAAACAAACTGCTCTTGGTCACCAACCGGTATCGTCGCAGATCTCCGTTTCTTCTACAAGTATGTGCTTTTTCATTATGCAGTTTAAAGAAATAGAAACTCAGCATTACGCAGTACAGGTAGTTTTGTAATTTTGCAACACTTCCTGATAGTCAGCGGTCACTCTGAGCTGAAGTGGAAGTAATGAGCCAGAGTTCAATCAGGGCTAAATTCTTGTGTTTAATGGCTCTGTCTTTTTTGCCAGCTGCGGGCTGTTTGTTGGGGGTGTGGGGATTTATGCATACAAAACCAAACCATATTTGGCAATGTAACATTAAATGAAGAGGGTTAAGTGTTAACTCAAGCCAACTGTAACACGCCGGAGCCCTGATATCCCAATGGACTACCGTTTAAGGTCATGTATTTAAATAAGCAAAACCTAAGCAAATTAAGTAAACGTCTTCACAAACTTGAAACAAATACGTTGCAAGTGAAAAGAAAAAGAAAAAAGAAAAAACAAAGAAACCCAAAAGCAAATACTGAAATGAACTAAAGCAACACAGCAGTTTTCTGCATGACAATCCATAAAAATGAAGTGATCTTGGACACAAGTGGGGATCATGTATCCAAACGCATTTTTATTTATTTAACTTTTATATTGCCAATCCAGCTCATAATATATGTTACCAGTTTACATAGGAAACCCGAGACCTGCTGAATTGTACAAAGAGAAACTCTGCTGCTCGTTCAGTGTAGTCCTATTGCCCTATTTTGTTTTAAAGGGCATACAGAATTATCATAAATAATAATTTAACACACATATAAGGGAAGTGGCAGCTTCCCACTCTCACTCTCTTTGTCACATCAAGAGCAACGGGACTTTATATTAAATGTATGAGCCTCACCAAGGGGGAGGGGAGATGTGTCATGAGAGAGCATAAGAGCATTTCTTATTAGAATGAGCATCAGGACTCAGTTACACATTAACTCAGTTTTTGCATTGGCTGAACAAAACCAGAATTATTCACCCCTGCTCTTACCTAGAGCTGTCCCAGGGGAGGAACCTGGAGGCAGGTCTGTGCTCTGACACAGAAGTGCTCTTTTGGGGTAAAATGGTACATTTAATGTGCAGCTTGGTGATTAAAGGGCACCTGCATTAGAAGAAGGGATTTTAAATTTTCATCCACACTGCCCGGTAGCCAGTGCATCGAAGATAATATTGGAGAGGTATATGTTTAATCCGTCTGGGCCACAGAGCTCCACTGTTATCCATGACCCTAACACTTAAATGAGGTGTTTCTGCTGTAAATAACCTACCACACCCTGCGAAGTCAACTAACTTAGATAAATGTCTCGCGAGCTGTCGAGCGTAAAGTGAGAGGTTTCTGTATTACAAAAGTGGCTCTGTTTTTAACTGGCTAAATCACCACGCTAACTTGTAGCGAACACGTAACAAGTTCAGGAGCAGAGCATTTTTTTTGTAAATCGGCTATAAGCTCCACATTTTCACTGAGTCTTTTATTTACAGCATTTCAAGTGTATTATAAATTCTCTATTATATCTATATATGCTGGTGTTTTATATGTGCAAGTTGTTAGGCGTGAATACTAAAACCACTGAGTGAAGAGCAAACTGTGCCTAATGTGGGTGAAATTTCTGATATTAAAGTCTGCAACACAATCAGCTGTGGTCAAGCTAATTTAATTGCTGGATGCAGGAGAGCTAACGCACATCAAACATCACAGTTCTACAGTCACGAGAGTGCTAACCTTGGGATGTCCCCTCATCCCTTTGATAACATCACACACACTCTTTGTATCTTTTCAGTTACAACAGTCTTTTGTCCCACCCGGGCTGTTGCTGGCCAGGGAAGACTTTCCCACTATCTATTTTCCAGGAAGCACCTGGCACTGGTCTTCTTGGGAGTTTCCCCAACAATTAGAGGTTAACTTAGTGAAACATTGTTAAGCATATCTAAGAAGTTTTCACCAGGTCATATTGACACACACACACACACATCCTTCATCTAAGAAGGTCAAACAAAAACCAACAGTAAAGTTCTAAAGACCTAAATCTAAATGTGAGGATAAACTAGAATGTTTCCCGTTACACTAGCATTATAAGGAATTTTAATCATTATATCCTTATATCATTATAAGGGAATGGGTAGGGGGCGCTCACGGGGATCATTTTTTGTGTGGAAGAAGAGTCTTATGACCTGTGAAATGCTGCTTTTTATATGAGCACGCGCAGAAGCTGAAGCAGAAAGCACTGCTTAACAGTGATAACTTTGATCTCCAGCAGGGGTTTTAGGTTCAAACTT